AGAATCCGTGGTGGTACATCCCCAGTGGGAATAACGGGGTTCGACACAGGTTTGGTGCAAAAGAGATTGGCGTAGAAACTTTTGATGATCGATTCCATTTTTGTCGGGAAGATGTGCGAATCCCTTCTTCGTTTAGTAATGCTGGCAGCGGAACACGAGTAGTCGAGAAGGTCCTTGTGGTACTTTTTCAGACTTCTCCTTGATTGTGCTGCTTCCGAAAGTTTCGACTGCTTGTGCTTTCAAAGTTTTTTTGCAAAACTGTTCTGCAACTAGCATTACTGCTCGTTACTATCATTCGCTCGAGATTTGATGCAGTCGGATCCAGCCTCAGTGCTCTCCTCCTCTCTCTCATTTCTAAAATCCTTGGTTGCTTCTGAAATTTATTCCAAGTTCCTTGCATTTTGCACAGAGGCATTTTCAAATCAGGCCCTCAGTCCGGAGCAGGTCATAGTCCTTCTTTGGATTCTCCTCGATAGGCCAGTCACAAATGGTCGGGAACTCCTCAAATCTGACTCTGTCATATACGACTTCTCTCCTTCCTCCCACACGGTGACAGATCTTCTTTTCCAGCTTTCGATTGGATCGCAATTTTGCTCAAGAAGGCGGTGATCTGAACCATTGCTGAAATATGGTACTACTGCGAGGTGTAGTGAGCACCACCTTCGGCTGGAGGTAATGTGGTGGATTTCCATATGAGTAATACCGTCGGGTGACTCTCATGTCCAAGGCCGGCTTTCCTTCTTCGCGAAGGTGGAGTTGCCATGAAGAAGTCGCGGATAAGAGCCCCACAAGACGATTACCATTCTCATTCCGAAGTCCTGAATTAAATCTCCCAACCTTATGCTCCTCCCTCCCCCCTCCTCCCGCCCCCCTTCCGGAATCCCGATCTTCGCACTGAAATCATCCAGGACGAACTTGTGGAAAAAAATTCTTTGATGACTCCTCCAATTCCTATAGAAAGCATCCAATTCCGAGTCATCAGCTGCTGATGTTGGAGAATAACAGTTGATGATAGTTGCGGCTTTCTGATACAGAGGACGGAGTCGAAGGAGATCCAGGCGAGGTGGTAGCACCTCACGAATCGACGAGATGGACAACAGATGGGTACAGCAAATCCAACCCTCCCCCCTCCCTCGACGTTCCGTGACGGAACTTTTCCACCACGAATGATGAGCGTGCCATCACTCAGCTGCCTCACGTCAGTCTTCCTTGTCTTTGTTTCTCGCAAAGCGATCACAGGATAGTTGATGCGCCCTGCAGCTTCAAGAACAGTGCGAATATAGGCCTTGGTGGAGACTCTCCTGGCGTTGTAAGTGCAGAGCATGAGTCTCCATGGC